AAGATCCTTTAAAACGATACAACACCACTTCGAATAAAGAATTAAGTTTTTTCAAAAATCACGAAATCGACGTGAAGTCGTTTCGACCGAGCTTATCCTAATTCGATTTTAATATACTTAAATAATAAAAATGAATAAAGAAATTTTACAATACCACAATTTGAGGATGAAAACGATATATAAAATTAAATGTTTATCGGGTGGATAAAAGCGCTAAATACTCTCGTGCGAGCGGGTTAAGTTTGAAATATTATCGTGTATAAGGAAGATGATTGTGCAATCATTCTTCCTACGAGCTGTAAACAAAGTGTAGACAAACCATAATATAAACTTTATATTATCTTTATAGTTATTCGCGTTTTAGAGTTGAGGTTGTTGAGGATTACCTATCTACCCCCTCAGAGCCTTATAAATTTTTTGATGGTTGATAGTCCTTCTTCCACCATATAAATAAAGAGTTAGGAATTGTTGATTCACATTTATTGAACGGTCATATTTAGTTTATCGGTCATAACTATAGTTATGGTAAAAAAAAATTTGACGAATTAGGGGCTCAATAACCTCCGAGGCCCGAAGTCACGGTTATCGGCTAAAAACCCGGTTTAGCCGAACGGTTTTACATTTTATTCGATCCTATATTCTATTGTGGAATTATATATTTATATTTTGAACGATTGGGGTTTTCCCCTTTTGTTTTTCTTAATATAATATTTATTTATTAAATATCTTCTTCTTTTTTTAAAAAATTTATTTTTACCTTTTTTTTCTCTTTATTTTACCAATTGGCAAAAAAAATTAAACGAGAATAATTTTATTTTTTGGGAAGCCAAAAAAAAATGCAACGGAATCTATTGAAAATAAGATATTAAATTAAAAATAAATAAATTAAAAAAAATATATATAAATTTGTAGTGTTGTTAAACGACTCGTTTTGAGCCGATTTTCAAAAACGGCTAACTCGATATTTTAGCCAGAAAAATATTGCCTAAGCCATGAGATTTGGCCAGTTGATTTCAAAACCTTTGTTCCTTCTACAAGCAAAATCATCAGGCTTGCGAAATATTATTCTGGATGAAATATTGAGTTAGCCGTTTTTAAAAATCGGCTCAAAACGAGCCGTTTAACAACACTATAAATTTGGAAATAATAAAAATTATTTTTAAATTTCTTTTTTTTATATATCAATTATTTAAAAATTAATATAAATTGATTAAATTAATTTAAAAACATATGACATAAACAATTTAATTATTCTTTTTTTTTATATTTATTTAATAAATAATAATAATAATAATATACTAAAAGAATGTTTACCAAAGAATATCAAAATAAAATATATTCATCACCAAAAATAAATGAATGAACGAATTTACAATTCCAATTTTTTTAGCCGGCTAAAAATTGACTTAAACGGCTAAAAATAGTACCAACTGATAGTCACAATTTTTTTATTTTTGCTACTTTAAATATAGGTACGGTGTCCCAAAAAAAATTAATTTTTTTAAATATCCTATCCCCTAAAAAGAACCAACATTCTAGATTCGACGGAGGGATTTCGAACCCAGAGAGGCTTATAATTTACTAAAAATTGTATTTACACTTTAATAAATTTTAGAATGACGATTTTAAGGTTGCAATCTCTCCCCCCTTTTTCTTGATACTTGTAAAAAAAAAATCTAACATTCTCATCTTCCACTGGATAGAGCGCCAACTTTAAATTGAGAGTTATTACTTAACGAATGTTTCTTTCGAATTCTAAGGATCCAAAAGGTTGTATGTTTTGAATGAAATTGTTAATTTGCAAAATCGATGTCTAATTTTGCTGGATGTTAATAAAGAGTGTTTTAAAAAAATAAGATTTTTTTGATAAAACCTAAATATTTCGTGTTCAAATATATATTTAAAATTATTTTTTTTAAAAAAGGTTTAGCGACTCGCTATTAGAGTCTAACAGAAAATTGAGAATCTTGTGTCATTTCTTGTTAAATTTTTAGCATTTTTGTTAATCCAAATTTCCTAAAAATGACATCCTTTCTTTCTTTCTTTCTTTCTTTCTTTCTTTCTTTCTTTCTTTCTTTCTTTCTTTCTTTCTTTCTTTCTTTCTTTCTTTGAGGATGACTGTCCACTTTATTAAAATATGAAATTATATATATTTTTTTTTTTAAAAAAACGATTTATATGTTTTTGAGTAATAAAAATTTAAAAAAAACGGTTTTTTTTGAGCCGCCGTTAACCATGAAAAATAATATCGAACGGTTATTACAGTTAAATATTTCAACGATTCTCTTCTGCCTCGAAGGGGAGAAAGGATAAATTTTTATGTTTGGGAAAACAGTTCCTATCCTTTTAAGAGAGAGTTGGCACTTTAAATAACAATTATATAAAAATGGCTACGAAAAAAAAATTTGACTGAATGATAAATCTATAAAAACCTTACAATAATACCGAAAGTTCACAAACAGATTCCCATACAGTTTTTTTAAAGAGTGTTAGGTTCAAGCTGCAGAGACGAATAAATTTTTTTTTAATGATACAACTTCGGTTTAAGTTTTTTTTAACGGGTTTCTTCGCCCGAATCGAAAATAACAAATGAATATTAAGTTTATTTATCGAATTATTTGTAAAAAACGACATTTACATATAAGGCACCATTATATGAGAAGTAAGGAAAGCTACATAAAAAAATGGGCGTAAATTTTAAGGTAAATTGCAGTAAACTACTTTTTCCGCTATGGATTTGATTGTGCTATCCAATATTAGGGAGAAGCTAGCATGATTTTCCTGATCTTAGTATTTGCCCCTGATCATAGGGTTATAAAAATTAATTCATACATATATAATATATATATGTAAAAAAAATGAGTATACATATTATTTTTTAATCAAAATTAAATTCAAGCGTTGTTTATGTAAGTTGTTACATTGTTGTCCGACAAGATGCATTTTCATTATTTAAATAAAATAATTTTAAATATTAAATTTGATAAATATAAATAGTTTATTATAAAATATTTTATTATAATTTAATCTAATCTAAGAGAGAAAAAAAATAATTTATTCTTAGCCTGATGGCATTTTTTAAATTCCCTAATTTTTAGAAAATATTTTTTGTAGAGAAAGTCAATTATTATAAATGTTGTTTACTGAAAACATAAGAAACATGCTTTGTAAAGAGAAAGTTTTCAATTGATTTCTGTTGCTTTCAGTGGAGGAATAGCTTTAATAAATTTAATTAATACAATTTTTTAAACATTTAAATAAAAAAAAGAAATAGTTTACAAATCTTATATTATGCATTTGAAAATGATTCATCTTGCAAAAATCAGGGCGTACTGTCAAAGGTTATGGGTCAAGTATTAGTATTAGTTACAGTTCAGAGGGTAAAAATTCTAAAAGATTACGGTATGATAAGTGTTATTCATAATTTTAAAAATAAACTGTTAATTTGAATATAAAATTTGTAAAGATAATTAAAAAATTTTTTTTTGTTGTAAAGGCAATTGGAAGGTTTTAAATTGTAATAAAATTTTATGACAATTATATGAAATAATTATCGTTGGCATGTTTGAGATGGAAAAATTAAGGAAGAAAAGGGAAATGGATATGATTTTTACTTTATATTAGTTTGCTTATTAATGTTATTTTAGAAAATGATTTTGATTAACTATATATTTTAATAAATTAATTGGGCATCCTCAATTCTGGATCTTAATAAATAGTGTAATCGGGTTAGGCAGTTGGGAATAAATTTCACTAATTACGATTCTTTGAAATTTTTAAAGTTTTATAGTAGTTTTTTTGATTTCATATTCATTTGTGGAAAATAGTTCATATTATTAATAAGAATGTTCCGATATTGGAACACCCCGAAAATTTTAAACTAATTATTAATTATATTTCAAAATTTCGAATAATATTATTAGATTTATTAAAGTAGATATCACAAATATTTAAAGAATTTAATATAATAATAATTGTTTGTATGCACTTATTCATGTAGTAACCACTACAGCAACGAAGAATTGTTAAGAATAATAAAGATTATCAAACAGAATGATAAAATTGATAATATAGACGTTATAAACTGTAATAAAAATTATTTAAATTCACCATTCATTTCTCTGCTTTCTTCAAAAACGATTTCAAATTTTTCTTCTCATGTAGAATTTTGTATTTATTTTGATTATAAAACTTAGTTATATTTTATCTCTTGAACTACGGAAAGATGATTCTAGAAGGGATGGAAAATTTTTCAATTTAATTAGAGTATAGTGACATTAAGATATAATAGAATGGATCATTATTGGATTTTGCCAGAGAAGCAAATCCATGTATATTATGTTATGTAAATATGCATGAAACATATTGTAGAATATATTAGATTAGACGTTAATAGATTAAAATTTTATGTATGTTTAGGTTTATATAATTTGAATATTAATTGGAATTTATTTAAAAAAAATAAATATCTTAACTTGTGTAAACGTTTAAGTTCTCGGTGTTCCCATATAGGAACAACAATCTTCTAGAGATTTAGAGATGTTATCTTTTTAAGAGTCAAGTATTTAAAGATTATTTAATACTTTCTTCAAAAATCACTTAATTCAAGCACGCGTTTGCCTAAAGTTAGAAAAATTTTGAAGAAAATAAGATAAAAACAAGTTTTAATTATACCCTTTTTATATCTGCATTTCATTTTATTTAATTTCAATATTATAATTTATAAAAAAGTATGAATAAAAACTTAAATTCTCTACGCCAAAAAAAATTGTCATTTTTATACATGAAAAAATATTTTCCCGTATATTTTAATGAAAAATAAGATTTTATTAGTTAGTTTTTTTTAAAAAAATAAAAAATATATATGTATTGATAATAGCTCGAAGCATGATTAATTCAAGTTTTTCATAAAATATAAATGAATTAGTGTGTAATTTATTATAATTAATATTTAAATTATAAATAGTTCAAAATATATTTTATATTAAAAATTTATCACGTTTTTTTTTCCTTGTTGTATGACTTATGGCAAATATTTATGATTAAAAAAAAATTTTATTTTTGTTTTTAAAAAAAGAGGATATTATAAATTTCATTCTCATCATTTAAATTCACTTTCAATTCAACCATGAATAATATCGAACTTATAGGTAAAGATAAAACAAAATATATAATATGATTTATTTCATCATGTTTAGTTGTTGTTAAACGGTTTGTTTTTAGCCGGTTTTACAACGGCTAACTCAATATTTTCATCAAGCAAAATATTACGCTAGCCTGAAGATTTGGTTCATAGAAGAAACAAAAGGTCAAGACATAGGCATTATTTTTCCGCTAAAATATTGAGTTAGCCCGTTTAACAACACCAAATCATGCTAAGTTTTATATACTAACATAGATTCAAAAATAGAAATCACTTTAATATAAAATGAATGCGGGGCAAAAAAAAAGAGTTTTTACGGAATACAGCGTGTAGGGCAAATAGTTCCATACTAAAAATGATATTCCAAAAATTGGTTAAAATGAAATGAATCTCCGTATAGGCCAATGCATGATGTAATGCTAGTTGGAATTGGTATATATTGGTATATAGGAAGTTTTGCTTTAAAAGTTATATAATACAAAATTTCGAAAATTTGTTTAAATTCGGTTTTTTAGATATATATTATTTATCTTATCTGTTTTATTTATTTTTTTTTTATAAAAAAAACATAAGGGTTATTAGGGTTAGCTTCGAAATCAAAAATAAAATGGGGTTAAAAAGATTTATAGTATGGGACTTTTTACCGGCACCGGCATTCCATAACAATAGCCATCCAATAATCTAAAGTATTTTATTGAAATGGAGGCATTACTGCACCGTGCTGCTCCTCTGCCCCACATATATTTTTGTGTCTGATTAACTGAGAAATGTTTTAATGATATTCGACTGATGCCTTTATATGAGGAAATAGAATCGCAGTTTTTTAGTAAGAGCTTTTAAAGAATTTTGGTGAATATATGAGATGTAATATCTTTTTGGAAAATCTATCCTCTCATCCACCCTCCAACTCACCCTGGAATGGCGAATTTTATATTATTCTTAATAATTAATTAAAAATTGTCATTCATTTACGGTGTCAGAGAACTCTCTTTGATATAGTAATTACCCTTTACAAGGTCTCCGAGTCAGATAATCCCTGACTAAATTTTCCCAAATTTCTCTTACCCATGTGAGCTTGATAATATTAAAATCTTTAAATAAATACAACACATATTAATGTAATTTTTCATTTTTCTTGCAATTAAAAATAATAAAATAGTTTTAATGATGGCGTGCCTAGCAATGTACTCCACCTGTAGTACCCACCCTTGTGATAGAGTTTGCGATGAAAAAGATCTGAGCAAAATATGCAATTACGATTTCACGGTCACCATGTCCCAAACTATGTTTAAGAAGCGTGGTTGCGGAGGATGCCCTGAAAATATGACCGATTGTTATGACCCCAAATGCATAACAGGGGATGGTCACGAAAGACCCGTTTATTTGGTTAACGGAATTTTTCCTGGACCTTCCATAACGGTATATTATAAGATAACTTGTAAATGAATTGAAAATTATATATTGTTATGCCTTTATAAAATATCGAATTTTCATTGAGAGAGACGAAATATATACAAGTTTAGTTTAAACAAATAGCAATAAGTTATTCCTAATGGTTAAAAATTATATAAATAATATATAAATTTTTGGCTATTTGAGAAAATACAATATGAGGAAAGAATAAATTATTATTTTTTTATGTATTATAGAATATACAAATAATACACACATAAATATACATTATTATCTTTTTAGCCTCTAGGGATCATTTTATAAGATCTCGAATTCAATGTTATAAAAGATACATTTCGTCGGCTGCATTGTCGGTCACGTAATTCATCGAAATATATATATTAATTATATTATATACATTTTAAACAAATTGGCTTATATTCAGTTTGGCCTAAGCGCAAACAATATAACAGTTTAAACTATGACAATTTTATCGCATCTAATAAGGCATTAAGATTTATACTGAGGTAAAATATTCAATAAGACTACTAGTAGATCGTTACTAGATTTGATATTTTACTAAAATAACCTGAAGCGTGCTTAGAAAGGTGGTAATCGGTGAAGCCACACCAATTGGTAAATTTAAGGTTCGCCAAATCTTTGCGTCTACATAGGGTCAAACCATTTTAAGCATCTTTTTCGAAATAATTTAAATTCAGATTCCCTCTTTCCCAACCTCTGGCATTATATTATTATACTATTATACTATTTATCAATTTTACCAATTTTAAATATATTAAAATATAATTTAATTTGTTAACGATAGAATATATTTTAATTAAATAAAGTTTAGAATAAGATTTTAAAAAATTTTTAAGCTTTTTTTGTGTGTGATATTATGTTTGATATGTTTGTGAATATATTATATATCTCCCGCTATTTAAATATATTGGAGTATTTTTAAAGGTAAAATGGAATATTTGATTTGAAACTTCCTAAAAAAATTTTTTAATGAAGCCGCCAAAAAGTCTAAGCACGGCCGTTTATAGTGTTATTAAACGGCTCGATTTAAGCCATTTTTAATTCTCTTCTCTTCTCTTCTTCTTCTCTTCTCTTCTCTTCTCTTCTCTCTTCTCTTCTCTTCTCTTCTTCTCTTCTCTTCTCTTCTCTTCTCTTCTCTTCTTCTTCTCTTCTCTTCTCTCTCTTCTCTTCTCTCTTCTCTTCTTCTTCTCTTCTCTTCTTCTTCTCTTCTTCTTCTCTCTCTCTTCTCTTCTCTTCTCTTCTCTCTCTCTTCTCTTCTCTTCTCTCCTCTTCTCTCCTCTTCTTATATATGTCAAATGTTTTAGGTGTGTGAAGGTGACCAGATAGTAGTAAATGTTACGAATGATATGATAAGCGCCGAATCACTAACATTGCACTGGCACGGGATATATCACAACGGCACCCCCTTTATGGATGGGACCCCCATGATAACGCAATGTCCGATACCCGTAGGAACGACATTTCAATACAGATTCATGGCTGAACCAGCTGGAACCAAATTCTGGCACGCCCATACATCCTTCCATCGAGCCGATGGAATAGTTGGCCCGCTCATTATTAGGCACAAAGTCAAGAAGGCCACCGCTAAAGACGATTCCTATCTTAAATCTAATCGGATTCCATATTATAAAAATGTACGTTTAAAGATGACATTATTTACTAATTATAAGATAATATGAATTTTAAACTAAATAATATTACTCGATTATTATTATAATAATTTTTTAAAAAAACTCCTATTCATTACTATTATAAAAAATAAAAATTTTTTTAAAAGCTAAGATCTTACACTACTAGAGAGTGAAGAGATAAAAATTACAGAAAATATTATATTTTTTATTCTAAAAATATTATACAAGCATAGTAAATAATGTTAAATGTTAAATACTGATATCCAAGTTCTAATATAAATAATACACTTATCACAACAAGTATTGAATTCAGATAATTCAATTTAGTCAATCACATTATCATGAGTGAATTCTACTTTTTTTATACTATCAATCACGAAGAAAAAAATTTAAAGCAAATAACATATAAATTTAGTTATTTTTTACAAAAAAACTTGTATATGGCGAAAACATTAAAAAATGACTTATTAATTTTTTATTGAAAATACTATAATTTTTACTTGTTGGAATAAATATTTATAAATAGTGAAACTATTTCTAATAACAAAATATTATATTAATCTGAATACGTTTTATATCTAAAATATTCGAATAATACAACACTAGGAACATAAGTAATCGTATTAATAAATTTTAATTCTATGAATATTTCTTAGATTTATAGTTTTTGGTCAAGTAAATAATTATTCCATTTTTTTTTTTACTATCCATAACATGTAATATAAAATAAGCAAGGTTTAAAAAATAGTTTTTCCTAAAATATATTTAGCCTGTTCTTAATTAGCTTTAATTGCTATTATCGTCTTATTACCACTAATGAAATCTATTAATGAGATCAAAAAGTTAAATGCTGGTTTCATTTCAACGAAATTAATCTTTTTTTTTTACAAATCAAGTACGTCAATAAAAGATCTGTCAGGGAAATGACTTCCAACAATAGGGTTCACAAGAAACGTCTATCAACCCATTCCCTCGCAGATCCATACGATTTTTTCGGTAACTTAAATCGCGATAGGAACAACGTGCTCATAGTGCAAGAGTGGAAGCACCAACCTTCACCCATCCACTACATAAATGATAACGAGGAGGCTCCTACCATCTTGGTCAATGGTAAGCAAGGTTTACGATCCGATTCACCGCCCGCATTCATACCGCTAAACATGGCGGAGAAAAACCTTAGAGATCCCTTTGTGAGGATAATTAGCAACGGTTTTCTCTTTTGCCCCATTCAAACATACGTCGAGGGATACGAGTATGTATTTAAATGAATGAATGTTTCGATAATTTCTTTTCCTTTCCTTTCTCTTTTTTTCCTTTCCTTTTCCATTCTCTCTTATATTTACTACAGTATAACATAAATATTTTACTGATATATAACCTGGCAATCATAGATTCATACTTTTCTATTTACATCTTACGACTTAAAGATTTCGAATATTGTCCGCTGACGGATTGATTTTGGATAGACCAATGATAGCGGATGTTCTCACGATATTTCCGGGGGAAAGATACGACGTGGAACTTGTTCGAAAACCCAATTCGACCTCGTCTTCCATGTACTCTCGCAGACTAAAATCTAAACTTAACAAGAAATCGCCTATAATGAGGGCGGATGCTATGCATTGGATTGGAATGGGAGATTGCGAGCACGAAGATTTCAACGCCAACGCTACCTCTTACATAATCCATTACAGCAAGAGGGATAACGTGACCAATGAACCTGTAGGCTTAACGATAGAAGATATAGTTCCAGCGATGCAGCTCTTGATAAATATCGATTTTAAAAAATCCCATTGGACCTCAATGTTAAAGACCGCCAGGGTTTTATATTAAACACGCATATACAACGATAGTGTTGTTGAATAGTCGATTTTTACGACTCTGAACTAGGGTCGAAATCGAGCGGCATAATGAGCCTATATTAATCGATTCTTGAGCCGATTTATAGTTTTTTTTTGAGAATTAAAGGTTTTATAAAATGAATATTTAGAATAGCTCAAAATAACTTGTGTAATTTGAATATATTGGTAAATTTGATCTCTAAAGGGTTATGAAACATCTGTTAAAAAATTTTTTTTTGCATTTTTTGATACGTAAAGAATTTTTAAAAAATAGGATTTCGACTAATATCTTCATTCATCTTAATTGCGGGCGGCAGCTGGAATTATTTTGCTCATTATACAGCCCACTCATTTTATTTTTTTTTGGGCTTTTTTATTTGCCAATAGGTTTTCCACCTCAATGTACAAATTCCTCTTTTTTTTTCTATCCTGACATTCAATCAGAGAAAACGGAGGGGGGGGGATAGATGAGATCGTGGTAAAACGATAGTGCTTTCTTTTAACCCCAATTCCCCATTGCCAAAAAAAAAACACCGATTTTGAAAAACGGCTAACTCACTATTTTCAGAGTTGTTAAATCCTGTATCTAGATATAAAAATGTGGTATCTGTATCTAGATAGATTTTTCGTTAAAATATATGTATCTAGATATTATTTTAGACGATGTATCTGTATCTAGATCCATTTAAAAAGTATCTTTTAACAACTCTGACTATTTTATCCAGATGAATATTGGGCAAACCTGAAGATTTTGCTCATAGAAGGAACAAAGGTCTAGACATATGTTATCGAGATCTCGGTGCTTAGGCAATATTTTTCTGGCTAAAATACTGAGTTGCCAGATGAGGTTAATGATGCTTACTACCAAGTGAATGTATGGAAATATTCTAAATACCAATCTAATTTGCTAAATATCGACCAAAATTTATTAAAATGTAATAAGACCCTTATTATTTAATATATTAATACGGAATCACGTGGTCGAGTCCGGCCTTCTATATATCATCCCCCCAAGGATGGAACCACCAAGTTAGAATAAGAAAAAAAACATGATCATTCCCGGGATTCGAACCCAGGGGCATGGGATCAGTAAGCCAAGTTCTTGCCTACTAGGCCATAGAGGCTTTCCAAAAATCACGATTTTTCAAATATTTATTATAAATATATTTGGTAGTGCCTATCCAAATGAAAAATGAACAAAATTCAAATATGATAGGTAGTACCTTAAGGTAGTAAGCATCATTAACCGCCAGATGACATGATTAAGTATGTTATATGTGTCTATTTTCCTCGCGGATAATAAACCCGTGTAAAGTGATTAAAGTAAAAATTGGGCATAAACACTCTTGTTGTTATTGAACAAAATATTACATTTTTTTTTAAAACATTTATTATCATTACCCGAGTTTTTTTAAAAAATTATTCTTACACGTAAACTTTATTATTAATGTTTTTTTTTTTGCTAAATAATTTAAAAAAATAATAATATGGAATATAGATGTTAATATCTCCGAATTTCTGGTGGCTAATAAGTCGACTTGGCTTATCCGCTTAACAGCGCTAATTAATATATTATTTTTAGTCAGTTTTCAAGGGCGTTGAAATATTATTCAATTTATTCCACGTTGAAATCAATGAACATTGCTAAAATGATATTAAGTCGATTTGCTAAAAACATCTAAAGCAATCCCACATCTGTATTGTGAGATTTAAAGAGGCTTTAGTCTTAGTTTAAGCGGTTAGAATAAGTAAATATAGAATATCAGCAAATTTATCAGTTGAAGATTCATATATCAATTTATAAATTTTTTTCATTTATCACAGATATTCAACCCTGTACATAAAGAAGATTTCACGATCAACAACGACCATCTTCGAATCACCAATTTAAAACCTTCTAGAAATTTAGCTAAAGCTATTCAGCGGGTGGATCACAAAATATTCTTGTTCACCGATAGTTACTTGATTGATGAAGGTTTTTTTGTTCCTTTTCTGTAAATTTTATATTTTATGTCGGTTTGTGTTAAAATTTTTAAGCTAAACTTATTTTAACAGAAAGATAATCGATCAACTAGAAGCAATATATAAGCTGTATTTATATGCATGACTTAATATACACCCATAGAGTATCTATATATAAAATTGCTCTAAATGTAAAACCTTCTCTTCTCTTCTCTTCTCTTCTCTTCTCTTCTCTTCTCTTCTCTTCTCTTCTCTTCTCTTCTCTTCTCTTCTCTTCTCTTCTCTTCTCTTCTCTTTCAAAGATTTCATGAAATATTTTTTTGCTTAATATACAAGTATTTACTGTATACGGTAAAACCAGATATCCCAATGTTCAACAACATATCGTTTCGACATCCCTCGGCACCTCTACTTTCCCAATATTACGACGTGCCGGACAGGGAATTATGTAATATAAACACCCATCCGCAATGCGCCAGCGAATTTTGTTCCTGCACTCATATGTACGAAATAGAGCTAGGAGCCGTAGTTGAAGTCATTGTAATCGATGAAGGTTCAATATTTTTTTCTAAGATTGTCATAATTTTATTTCTCCCCCCCCCCCTTTATTTTTTAGATTAATTTTTTTCCAGCAATGTGTCATTTTTTTCAACTTTAGATCACTTTTTTGAGCGTCTTTTTTTTTAAATTTAAAAATCGGATTTTACCGGAAATGTATACCAACATGTTTGGAATACCTACCCTTATATAATTTATAAAATGAAAGAAAGAAAGAATGAAAGAAAGAAAAGAAAGAAGAGAAAGAAAAGAAAGAAAGAAAGAAAGAAAGAAAGAAAGAAAGAAAGAAAGAAAGAAAGAAAGAAAGAAAGAAAGAAAGAAAGAAAGAAAGAAAGAAAGAAAGAAGGATTTCAAAGTTTCCAAACTCTGCTTTTAAAAAATGATTTAACCAATAAATAAGCCCGCTGAAATGAAATGCACAATATTTTAAACAATATAAATAGAATACCTCGAAAACTTGCTGTAACCCGATCCCGGAAATTTTAAAATGGATTCCGAACTTCTGTTCCTATCTCAAGTATTTCTAACAGGGTTTGAGGTTCTGATTTCTCAAACTCTGATCAAAACCAAAAGCCTATAGAAGGGTATTTCTTCTGATAAAACAAATAATCAAATTAACAATTAGGCGTGACCAGCCGTCAGAAATATTAAAACGAAGCTGGATTAATTGAAAACCCTTTTGATTATATCTGATCAGAGACCTTCATAGAACGGACCGGCCCGCAGCCCATAGGTCTAATATTATAGTTTCTAACGGCTCTGGGCCTGGGCAGAGCTTAGAAAATTTTAAGCTCAGGTCGGGTAGGGGGCTATCATTTAAATTTAGCTTATTTCATCTAGAATTGCAAACATAACTATGTCCTTAAATACACTGAAATGTTGTTTATTTTTATCGAATACAATAAACTCAATTTTTGGATATGAGCTCGGGCAAAATTTTTGAAACTTTTTATGGGCAAAGGGATCTTGTTTTTAATTACAAATTATTAGGTGTTAATTAATAATGGCACCGTCCCTACGTTTGAGCATAGAAGCATAATGCTATAATGTTTCATGTTCATATATAAAAATTAGCTTATTTGTGCCACTAGGGAAATTGGATCCTTTCTTAATTTTTAATTTAACTTATTAAATTTATATTAATCAAAACAAAAGGCTTAAACGGGGAATACGATATCCATTCCATCCATCTTCACGGATATTCTTTCGCAGTATTGGCACAAGAAAAGATAGGAAACAATGTGTCAGTTCATCAAGTATATCACTTTTTTGAAAATAATAATTGCCTTTGATTACTTATAATTTAACTGGATTTGTTTCGTGGGAATAAAAATAACGAAAGTTTATATAAAATAATTAATAAACCGAAAAATGGAAAAATATTATACGCGGGAAACACCCTCCCTACATTTCCTCTTGGCCAATCACGATTGACCTTACCAAATCAAAATTATTATTTAAAAAACGAAATCCAAACAAAACTAAATCTTTTTCTCATCCCACTTTGATCCAAATGACAATAACCTCTTTAAACTATATTTTTTTTTCCTTCTTTCTTTCTTTCTTTCTTTCTTTATGAAACCTTGTCTCATACCCCCCCCCTCCTCAGTGGTAGATGTCTTGGGTTATACGCATTACTCTCTTCTACTTTTTTTTTTACAATTTATTTAACGAATGCGTTATCAGATAAAAGAAATGGATAGTCAAGGACGTTTAACCAGAAATTTAGCGGATCCTATCATTAAAGATTCTGTGGCCATCCCCGAAGGGGGCTACGTAATAATTCGGTTCATCGCGGATAATCCAGGTTTTTTTTAAAAAAATGACCCGTAACAGACCACCTTAAATATTTTAATAAATTCCAATCAGCAAAAGAAAGAAAGAAAGAAAGAAAGAAAGAAAGTTTTAAAACTGAGTGTATACAGCATCAATTTGTAAATATAAAAGCTCTAGACTTAAGATCTTAATCTCATAAAATTTATTAATATCTTACTAAACATGGAAAGGCTTCTGGATGCTGCATTGTCACCTAGATTTTCACTTCCTAAAAGGCATGGCCCTCATCTTCAAAGTGGGAGATGTCAAGGAGATGCCAGAAATTCCTCCCAAATTTCCGCACTGCGGTTCTTGGTTCACCGATCCCATCAACACCAGTCCCAATAGATGGAAAATTTTTAAACCGTAGTGAAATATAACTTTACTTTTCTATCAAAACTTCAAAATACTTTTCTTTTTTAAAAAATAAATAAATAAGATCTTATGATTTAGGTTCTATTCATAGTGGAATCCGATCCTACCCGATTTAACAGCTGAGCGATTCAAAAAAAATCTTTTAGCGCGATAAATTTTTTGTTTTTTAAAAAATATCATTATCCTAATATTTAATAAAGATAAAATTGATCTCATAAACATATGTTAAAAAATAAAATCGATCAGCTGTTAAATCTTGTCCGATTGGTTCCCACTATGAATCCCGCCTTAAACGTAAATCCAAATTCCTCAATATTTACACTATTACAAATATATAAAAAAAATATCGAATTTCGCGTGATTTATATTTTTTTTCCTACCCTTCAAAATTACATACACAAAAACATATTATTAGCATTTTTTTTTTATTGTATTCTGAAAAAAAAAATCAGACCAAAATGAAGTTTAAAAAAAATATATATTTCACATAAATAAATTGTTTTTCAAAGTAAATAAATGGCAAAAAATATGAATAAATGTTTTCGGTAAAATTCTTAGTGAAACATCATTTACGAGAGCACCCTTTTAGGATTTCCAGAAGTAAGGGAGGCAAAATATAAACGGGCACAGTATTATTTTAAGGTAGGGTGCGATGGACTTGTCGGCCTTTTCGCCTAGATTCCATAGTTCCCTCTTGGCTCTAAATAGGTTTCTGGCACGTTTAGGCGTATTGATCAAAGGAGACGGCTGTGTGCCATTCACGAAATAACCCTTCTCAAATTTTGCCACCTCAGCCTCCTTCCCAGTTATAGCTGGCATATCACCTTTGGACATAGATTTATCGTTGAATGATTTTCGGTCGCTAAGATCTAGGTTCTCTTCGTAAATTCTCCACTCCGAGATGCTCTTGAAACTGGCCTCATTGACCATCGTATTCATCAAAATACTTTTAGGTTCAATCCCTTGGACCGGTAGATGGGTCAAACTGGGAAATTCCATAGGCGATATTCTATCCAGGTTAGACTTGTGGCTAGCGATCCGCCCTTTTATATCATTGGCGGTCGATTTAACTCCCATAGTTAATAATCGGTAAAACATATTTATAATGTCTTCTTTGGTGGTAGACGTACCTAAATAATGTTTTGGATTATTATTAGAATAAGTTTCTTGCCCTAACATAGTTTGATTGGAATTGGCAAAGGAATCCTTCTTCGATAAAGTTTCTTGGTTTATGACGTCATTTTCTACAAGAGGGAGGATTTTAATAGAAACCTTTTTGGAGTTGGGTTCGTTTATAGTAACGTCTCTATTGACAACATTGTTATTCCAGAATTTGTTCGAACCTGCGGGAGTTTTGATGATGGAATCTTTCAAAGTATTCATGAAGCTCTTATCAGATGGGTCAGAGATATTTTTATGGAATGAGAGGCGAGAGTTAGGATAATCCAAATACTTCATGACGGTGTCAATGTCTTCGTCACTTTCTAAATCTCGGGTATCCAACTGCAAGGAGTCCAAATCGATGGTATTCATTTCACTTATGGATTGCGAATGGGCTGGTTGCGCCATTGTATTAAATGACCGCGATTAATAATTAGTTATATTTAAATTAGATATAAGGAAATGTATATGTTATATATGTATATATATAATAAAAATCTTTAGAACATTCTTAAGAAGAAAAACCATTTTATAAAGAAATAATTAATATATATATAAATATAATTTGGTGTAAAATAGAGTGTAAGTTTTTGATGACATATAATTCGATACTTACAGATACATTTATTTTAATTTGTATCGATACAAATCAGCAGGTGACACATCCATTTGGTTTCCTCGTGCAAATAATTTATATTAAAATTTAGCTCGAAGAATTTTTATTTTTTTAGAGTTTAGTTTAATTTACAAAAACAAATTCATACGTGGGAACCCAAATAACGTGTCATCAGCTGACTTGCATTCAGCGACGCTTTGAAATGTCATTTAATGAATGAATTCTTAGTATGGACAAGTATAATGTCATTTGGAACCCCCTGCTTTTGATCGAAATATAAATTACCCCCACTCAATATCTTTCTACCTTCACTACACTCTCTCACTAATCTTTAGCTGAATGCTTGAGAAATTTTTGTTTCAGAAAAGCTGTGTATTATCATTGGCCTTAAAAGATAGAATTATACATCCTTTGCGATATTCCTTGAGGATAAATAAAAAAGGTATTAATAATTTAAGGATATATATATATATATATATGTTAGCGCTAATATGATTCCGGCAATCTTTTATATTTATAACTTTATATCATTTATTGAGCGCGTTTTTCCAAATAAAAATCGGATTTTACTGGAAAATATATTCTATCATGTTTGGAATACCTATCTTATGAATTCTAGACCATTTTTACGATAACCTTGGAACCTCAAAATAATATCTTTAACAAATTATTAAGGGTTGAGCTGGGCTTGAAAAACTTTTTTAAAATTACAAGGTCTTAGATGCTTCCTAATATTGTGAGCTTGGACCTGGCATGACATCTATCGTAAAAAAAATGAATAAAAATCTCATTCCCCGTCATTTTTGACGGGCTATCTACTAGTTATATGAAAAAATATAGGAAAAATCGAAAATAAATTAAATTATGTTTAAAAGTTCACGAAAAAAATTGTCTGAAATTTATGGAGTTGGTATTCCAAACAAGATGAAATGCATTTCCGGTAGAATTAGACTTTTTAAATTTTTTTTTAAAATGCGTACAAAAAATGATTTAAAGTTAAAAAAAAATATAACAAATTGCCTGAAAAAACACATTGACGCTATCATATATATATCTAATAAGAGAGGCTCTTGTGAATCTTATTTATCCTATTTAGGTATAATACCACTCGAAATTTAACTAGATGTCAGAAGCTGAATTTAAAAAGTTAGAGAAAAATTCGGCGCATTCTAATTGCCAAATGAAGAGACAAGATTTTTCGATGAAAACGATTTGCGAAAAGTTTCTGGATTTGAAACTTTATTCGGATATTACAAAACGCCTATAATAAAATTTTAAACTACTCAATAATCGTATATAAATAATATTCCATTTTGTCGGGGAGAAGATAATTCATACCCGGACATAGTCGAGTCTATGCATGAATTGTTAGACAACCTCAAAAAAAAGGAAGATAATTTCTGGTGGTGTAAATGGCTCGTTCCAGCCTTAGAAAAATTGGTTTCAGAGGCCACAAAGCCTTTAGAATTATATTTTCTCCTCTCTAACTACATCGTGTTTGTTTTAAAAAAAGAAATGCTAATATTTTGCAAATTCTTTAGAAAAACAGCAAATACTCGAATTGTATGATTTATAAATATCTAGTTTTTAAGAGACCTTCTCTCGCTCCCCTTTAAATCGCGGCGTTTCCAGCTTAGTATAATGTAAATTGCACCAAAATTGTGAAGACAATATAGCAAAAATGATATCTTTTAAATCATTCATTATTTTTAAGACCATATTAATTAAATAGTATAGTGTTTCAGGAAAATAAAATTAATAAGCCAAAGGATCGATTCTATGTTAAGAGTTTTTAATCTCTTCTCTTTCCTTTCCTTTTAAGAATTTATCCTACCAAGTCCTTTGCTATTTCTCGAGGTCTCTTTTATAAGAATTGCTAACTCGGGCTTAAAAAAACAATTTTAATTATTGCGTTGGTTAGTTAAGATTCATATTGATAAAAGGGAAGAAATCAATCATCTAAAACGAAACAAAAAAAAAATGAAAACTATTATAAACCGGAAATAAAAATAATTTATTCCTACAAATCCTCCCAAATTATTTCTCTCTTCAGAAACAATATTAAAAAATTTATATTATATACAATAGAATATTTTTATAAAAATAAGATTTGATAAAAACTTGGAGGTCATTTTTACCTATTGAAATACCGCAGAAATCCAGAATGGAGGTAGACAAAATCCTTAAATTAATTAGAGTACTTTTATATATCGATATGGATGAATACTTGGAATATATGTAAAAAAATGAGGTATGAATCCTTATGAAACTTGTTTTAAAATATATCATATTAGACGTTATATATAATTTACATATTAGGGTTTATATTTTCCAAAAATCGAAATTTTTTTTTTAAAAACCTATGTAACAGGTTTAAGTTTCTAAGGTTCAGATATAGGAACAACAAATTTCTATAAGATATAAGAATCTTTTTTAAAAAAATAAGATGTACTTTTCTTATTTACACAAATAATTGGGAAAATGAGAAAATTAAAATTTTTACTTAGTAAAATCATCTGTGATTATCAAAAAAAAAATCATAGATAATCAGTAAAAAAAATTCAGTATTTTTAGTCCTGAATAAGTTTTTTAAAAAAATCTAAACATTTCAGCTTATTTACTAAAATTTACTTGGAGTTGCATGGCTATTTTTTGCATTTCATAATTTATGTTGGATGCCCCATCCTAAATTATGATCATGAGTGAAAGATAAAGAAGAAATCGCGAAGTTATTTTCTTCATCACATCAGATAAAGGTCACATTTAAGCCAACTCTTGCTTACTTAATAGACAATAATAACGAAATACCCTTATCATTTCGCACTTGTGATTTAAAAACCTTTGTTGGTAAATATATTGTTCTTATTTTAATGTAATATATTCGTCGTAAAAAAAATCGCTAAAAGGGTTAGATAAAAGTTTTGTTATAATGGGTTTGAGATAAGAGATTAGGCTCCAAAGCGCGGGCTAGGCTTTGCGAAAATAAATTAGCTAATATGTGTTCACGATATTGTGTTCGCTATAAGTTTAACTGAATTGACCTGTTACGAAAATATATAGCATACGGAATATATATCTTAATTTGAAATGGCAGCTTATTAGATTTAGGTATATAAACTCTAAGATTTTCAGCTAGCTCATCATTTTTTTTTAAGAAATTGTAAATAGTGTTTAGAATGTGATTTTGGACTATAAAAAAAAATTATGGTTATTTGAAATTAAAGTTTAATCGAATCACTCTAATTACGATTCTGCGAAAGTAGAATAAACCATGGATTTTTTTAAATTTAAATTGCGGCCAAGAGTGCTTTATATGACACTAGTTCGAAAAAAAAAATTACCGATTAAACTGAGCGAATTTTTTATTTAAACAACCTGCATTTTACTACATTAAGAAAAAATATTTTACCCTCTACTCGGAAAATTCTTGTAGATGTAATAATCATAGCTATTTTTACTAATAAAAGGCTTATTCAGAATTAAGAATAGAAAAATTTTGATTAGCTAAGATGCAGCCCTAAAGTATTTCATAATATGAATATCAACAATTTACTTCTTTTTTTTATACAAATTAATTATTAGGTTGTTTTAGGTGTCTAAAAATGTTTAAAATAAATATATCAATAATAATAATTTATCATTGTTCACAAATTAAAAAAAATTTCTTAAAGGAAAAAAAAATGCAATAAATGAGATTCAAATTTCATTTAGTATTAAACTGTAAAATATTCTTTTTTTCTATCATTGATAAATAGCAATTAAACGAATATTGGAAATTAGATAAATATTTGTGTTCTAAAAAAAAAGAATTGAAAAACCCATGAGGAAGAATATATTATATGTCCTTAGATAAAAAATGTAGGTGGTTTGATATTACTATGTTTTATGATAGGGTATGCAATAGAAGGTTAGATTAATTAAGTCTTTACTGCAAACAAATCCATATTTTACACAGAATAGGATTTTTTCCTTATAAGATAGTTATTCAGTGATAAAATACAGCTCATTATAATTTTAACTTTTCATTAAATAATAATGTTATAGTTCATCATATATGGATAATTAGTTATATATATTTGATTTAAAATTCATTAATTTTTATATATTCCATTAAAAAAATCCAGGGTTCATATTTATTTTCAAATGTGTCTAGCTTAAAAGTGTTATATTTATAAATTATTAATAGAATATATTAAACTGGCAGACTGATTTTTAATTCATTTTAAATATAAAGGAAAAGAATATACATAAAAAATAAATCATATGAAAAATAGAGAATTTCCAAAAATTAATTCAACAAAAAAATATAAATTTTGCAAATTCAATGTGGTTTAGGAGGCTTGACAAATTCATTCCATTTATGTGACATATAATATGACAATTGTTTATATTCCTTTCTTGTCAAACTTGATACTTGATCAGGGAAGCACAGGTAACTCATAAAAGTAGCAGCTGCTAACCCATTGAATGATTTGCGTATAAAATTTTCTTAGTATTCATTTAATGTGAAAAAAAAATGCTTTATAATATATATTAATGAAGAAATTTAATTATCTTTTTTTTTAAATGGCAACATGAATATAATATAAAAGAACTATTTATCAATTACTTCTGTATGACAAAATTACTCCACCAAACCCTGCCAATGTTATGAGGCCTATTCTAGGTAGTATTTCATAAACTAAAAATATTAAAGTATTTATAAAAATTTAAATACCTCTATCCAATTTTTTATCTTTCATATCAATATTTTCAAAATTTCTTGGAGTCTTATTTATACAAATAAAATATTTCAAAATTTCATAAAATAAGCTATATTTAAACCTCCATTAAAAGTATTGAATATATGTTTTCTCGTATCTTCATAATACCATTTGAAATTCTTTCAAGGCCAAAAATAGGCTTAGTTTGTTGAATTTCAATGTGATCTATGTATATTGGAAGCTTAAATTTTTATTTTTTTAAATATATATTCCTGAGTAATAAAATATAATTATTTTTAGAGTTGTGACCTATATGCAAGATAAGAAATGAGAGCAAAAGTTAATTTATATAATTAATATTAATCTATTAAGATTTTAAAAAAATATACTGTCAATAATATATTTGTGGGGTATTAACCAATTTTACCTCTGATATTGAGATATATTTTTTAGTTTCCACATATGATTTTTTAGTAAAATATTTTTCTTTAAATTTATCAAACATTAAAGCAGCTTGGAGGAAAAATAATGTACTTGCTATAAAACAAATGATATGACAGGGATGATAAGTGAATTAGTTCAATATGGATGACACTCATAAGAAAGAAATTTTATAGACCATTGGCGTAGCCAGGGGGGGGGCAAGGGGAAATTTCCCCCCATTCAGAAATTTATCCCTTTTTGTGAATATCATTTTAAACTAATATAAAATATCCCCCATAGTCCTCTCCCCACTTCCTGACTCCCAAAAATGTATGCATATAACTTAAACAATAATTTGAAAGATAGAATGTAAAAGATTTTTTATAAAAATATTAATCATAATTTAAAACATTTTTGAAAAAAGCATTTATATATATAAAAAAAGTGAACCAAAAATCTTTTTAAGAAATGGAATATAAGATAAGTCTTAAGACAAATGTGAAATGTATTATAATTATTAATAATATATCCATAAAATTACTAAATATATATCAAATATAATTTTTTATAAAGTGAGTAATTTTAATTTATTTATCTTAATAAAAGTAAAATATAATTATAAAACTATTGATAAAATTAAATCATTAATTAAATAAATAAATTAAAGGTCAATTCAATACAAACAGTGGAATATTATATGTCGTATATCTAATTTTATCAATCATCATATGACAATCAAGTATTTTTATCAATATAGCGAATTATATATTTTACAGAAAACTATAAAATATTGATAAGGACATCAGAAAATATTTTTTAAAGACATTGCGAAATAAATAACATGAAGATTAATTTTAATATTTTATTTAAAATAAATAGATGGCGTTAAATAATTGAATGCAAATTGTTGCTCTATTTATTATCAAGAGCATTGATTAGTAAAATTTGTTAAATTATTAACTGCAATATAGACTCTAACTGTCAAATATGTCTGTAAAAGTGGAATTTTACCTAGTATTTTGTAACTAATTCTATATAATAGAGGAATATCAACTATATGCCTACTTACTTTTTCTAAATAAATTTCTTATACTTGTTTTGAATAAATTATTACCATGCTTTAATATTAATGCATGTACAAGTAATTTATTATATTTTATATAAACTAATAAAAATATATTTCATATTTGTTCCAGGCCTATTTTTTTTTATTAAATTTAACTTCCATCTTGTAAAAATATTTTATGACTATATATAGACTAAGGTAACCCGGCCGAAGGCCCGCCCAAAAGGGGGTCTGGGGGGGGAAGCCCACCATAATTTTTTAATTCCCCCCCCCCTTAGGAAAATCTTAGCTACGCCTATGCTATAGACTCCCTGGATGAAATGCGAATTATTCGTTATAAAGTTTCCATTCGTTATATAAAAGTTTTAAAGACTGTTTCTATTATTTGTCGGGCTCTTGTTTACACCATGGATACTTTCTAGATAATTAATAAACTATGTCAAAGGTAGTGACGTGCTAGGAATTATCCATATGTTAGGGGGGGGGGGTTACTTCATTTTCTCCAGCATTCGACCCATTCCATGAAATATATTATATAATATTAATTATTCAGTATCTTTATATCATAACAATTAAAATTTCTAATTCTAAAATTTGCCAATATTTTTGGCTTTATTAGTGTAAAACCACTATAAAAACTAACATAAATGATAAATATTTGGCCGAAATTATGATTTATAAGCAACTGAAAGCTTTATCCTGAAAATTTTAATAATATTTAGTGTTCAATTGTAAATTTACTTAATCCATTATGTGTAGAAAGAAAATAAAATATCAAGCTACTAAAAAATTCAGGCAAAAATATTGGTAAAAATTTAAGGACCAAAATTTTTAAGCAGACTGTTGTGGTCTGCATAATTCCATCTTTCCAATGATGGGTTAATTTCTTTTTTTTTGTATTGTGTATTATGATTTATCATGCATTATATTTATTTCGTCTCACTTTAGATTATCCCTTACGCGCCAATGGTTATTGATTACTTATTATGTCCTATGATTCGCTAATAAATAAAATCAGCACACATATAAATTTTTACAGGCTTGGCCAAGAAAATAATTTTAATTTTTAGACTTTAAGCATTATTCTGAAAAGTTTATCAATGTTCAGTGTTCAATTGTAAATTCATTCAATCCATTCGGTGTAGAAAGAAAAAAAAATTGCCCCTTCTCCAAACCTCTCATTTTTTTATGATGACTTAATCGATCTTATTCTATGTTAAAAATAATTATTTTAATTAAATTTTAGCATATAATAAAATTTTACAGAGAATTTCATTATAGATTTTATTTATTATTAAAATACTTTAGTATAAATAACATCCCTTTATTTTTGTATTTATTTGAATAATAATATACAATAAAATAAATTTCAAAATAAATATTATACAGATTATTATATTAAAATTTTTTTGTAAATAACTGTATTTAAAAAAAATTACAATAAAATAAAAGTAATTCTTGTTGCACATAATGGTATAAATATAATTTAACAATTATAAATGATTATATTATCAAAATATAAATAACTCTTATTGCAAATGCAATACATATATTAAAAAAAATATATAAATATTATGACTAATAATTATTATAATTAAGTTTTGCATATAAAAATTCTTAGACTAAACAGAATATAATCATATTACAATTTTATGATTTAAATTTTTAAAGAGAGGTCTACATTTCTCTAAGATTTAGCTAATTCTTCTAGAATCAAATTTTATTTAGAATAATCTCCTTACAAATATTTAATAAACGATTTTCAGAGGTGCTATATCTTAAATAGTTTTTTTTAACCTTTTCAAAGTTGAAAAAGACCTTATCGGTAAGGTAACCAAAATAAAAAGCAAAATTTTAATATTGTATAGGAAATCTAAATTGCAATTACACATGGAAAGGGCCTGCAAAGCATTTTTTGGTCTCAACGAGTAATCTATTCTGTTAAGACTTTTATACCAAAATTCGACATCACAAGTATATCACACGATCCTGATAAATAGAGTAATACTCTGAGATTTTCTACATATTCTTTCGCATTTAATGCGTAATCACAAATTCAGTCTAAACCGGCAAAAGAAAATAGAAACATTTTTAAATAAAATTTTTCGCAATAAAAAAAATTAAAATTTTTTTTTTAATTTTTAGTGGTTTTAGGAGAAATTAGAAAAAAAATTAACATACCAGCCTGGTAGATATGAGAAAAGGATAGGTATATTGAACTATTAAAAATAATTAATTACATAATTTAAATATATTATTCTTTATAAAATTACCTTGTAAATTTTAGTTAATTTTTAATATTTTTAATAATAATAAAAAATTATAAATAAAAACTTTTAGCTTAATTTAATCGATAAAATGAATCTATGTTATTTCGATTCGCTCATGCTGACTCTCCTATTGATAGGCTATCCACCTTTTGCAGAAAACAATGAGAAAGATATCAATTCCACTAATCAAGGTATATTTAATGAATATATATGAGACTTTTAGGTCCACTAGGAACATATATCGGAATGGATTATCAATACTTTATTTTACTTCTCACATTTTAAATATTCTTTTTAAAACTATATTTACAAAATCTAAATAAAAAAAAATTATTTTAAACGACCAAACCTTTTTTTTTGTTTAACACCCCATATTCTGAAAATACAAAAAAGAAATCCCAGAAAAATGGTTATTTAGCATTGTCATCAAATCCAATGATCTAACCGATCCCTAAAAACACACGGCTAATTCAATAAATGAGAAAGAAAGAAAGAAAGAAATTTCCAAAAAGAACAAACCTCTCTGTCATCATTTGGCAAGATCGGAAGGCTTGGTATTTGGCTAAAATCTTGAATATTGATGTATTTTTTTTAAAATGGAACTAATATATTTACACCCCCCCCCCCCCATCCCCTCGTTTTTTTGCCATCGGAGACACACGCTCTTTATTCCAAAGATATGATTAACATCCAAATTTAAAATTTTATTATTTAAAAAATGGATTGGATCCAATACGGTTAAGAAGAATAATTCAAAGAATAGGATTTTTGAAAAAAATTTTTTATATTTCTAGGAAAACGATAAAATTATAAGTGCCAAAAAAGGAATATATAAAAAAAATGCAAAGGAAGATGTTTACTTTAAAAAATAAAATTTATAAAAATCAAAGAATAAGATGGGGTTTTTCTCCTAACCAGCTAAATTAGGGCTTGAGACTTCGAGAGTCGAATTGGACACGTTTGTAAAGCTCCATTTTGAATCACTTCTAAAGGTTCAAGATAAATATGAAAAATATATTTGATAAAAAAAATTAATTGACATCATTATAATTCATTCGTTAATATTTATTTATCATTCATTTTATGATATACAAACCAATTCTCACATATTTTGTCTCTTGGAAATTAATATCAGTATACACAAACTCTCTATTTTCATTCATTGAAAATTTATCTTAATCATATCTCATGTTTATTTTTTTTGGAGTTAAAATTATCGGCAAATATCTTTTTTTCATTAGGGTATGATCATTTTAATTAGATAGGATTCACTAAATTCTATTGTGTTTGAATTGTAACTGAGAAAACAGTCGAAAACTGAAAAATTAACTTTTTTTTGTCCAGCTGATTTACCATCAACGAAGCCTTTCTAGTGCATTATGTTAAATGCGTCGTCAGTCTAGGTAAGGTATTATTATATGTCATTGAGTGATTCCTAAATAACAAATTTTCTGAACATCCCTCTTAGCTTGATTATTTAAAAATTAATACATAACCAAATATATTTTTATACCCACCTATTATTAAATATATTATTTCGCTACAAATTATATAATTTAATTAATTATTTCAACCTTTTTTAATATTAAATTTCTATTTTTAACCTGTAAAAGTGTATTAATCTTTTATCTAAACTATAGTAAATTCAATTCAAATTTATTAAGTTATCATTTTAATTAATTTTAATAAAAAATTTTTATTTAAGAACCTTGATTAACTTTATAAAATAAATTATGAAATAGGAATAAA